TTTATTTTTTTTTTTTTTGAGCCCACTTTGAGCACGACTTTGACTTGGACTTGGCATATTGTCCAGTTGTGGCCAGTTTTTGTTGCTGCTGCTGCTGCTGTTGTTGTTGTTGCTGTTGCAATTGTTGCTGACCGAATTTTTCAATTGGAAATTAGGCGCTTGCATAATGCCTCTATATTTATAGAGTATATGCAGTGTGTTGAGCTCTGCCTGAGCAGAAATCACAAATCAATTGCAAATACACGTATACAGTTATAAAATACAGCCAGGCTCAACATAACCTCAAAGACAAATACGTCACACGAGGAGCAGAAATCACAAATCAATTGCAAATTCATGTGTATGGTACAGTTATAAAATGCAGCCTAGCTTCACATAACCTCAAAGGTCTACATAGCCTCAAAGCCAAAAAGAGCTCGACATAACCTCAAAGCCAAAATACGTCACACAAGGAGTAGGCTAACCCAGTCAACCACCACCCCAAAATATGTTGAGACAGCTGATTATTCGTTATACGTGCCACAAAATGTGACGCACTCGCATTGCTGTTGCTGCTGCCGCCGTTTGTGGCGTGGGCGCTTGTGTTTTTCGGGTGCTGCGTGGCAAACAAATTTGTGCGTGGGCGAGGTTCACAGCTGGCCCACGCCTTTGGGGTAACGACGTCATTCAACCCTCGTTTTATAGCTCAAGCGCCCGCTAGCTGAACTCGCTCGTTCGGCGCTGGCGAAAGTGGATTCGTTGGGTAATCTTAGACGCCTGGCGGGTGCTCAACTTTGTTCAAGTATCTCTTGCAACATATTCCCTCCCTCCCTCCCTCTCCCCTCCCTCCTTACCACTCTCCCCTCACTAGCATCTTCGTCGCATCATGCTGGAGAGTGTCACAGCTCCTACGGCCCTCAAACGCCCGCCCTCAAGAGCCTCTTTAGACAAAGCGTCAACGAAACAAGTTTTTGCGCCCTCTCCCCCCGCCAACTATCACTCCCCATCTCTCTCTCTCTCTCTTTCTCGCTATCTCAGTCTTTGTCTCTGTTTGAGTGCGATTTTATTTGTAGTTTGTGTGTGGCATGCAAAAAGATTGATTTCAGCTCGATATTATTGTTAGATGAGTACGCTCTCTGATACGTCAAGGAGTATTGACTGTGGGCATTGTCGTTCAGCGACCTAGAGCTGGTTTAGCTCTGTGTGTGTGTGTGTGTGTGTGTGTGTGTGTGTGTGTGTGTGTGTGTGTGTGTGTGTGTGTGTGTATGTGTGTGTGTGTGTGTGTGTACATAAGCATGTGTAAGTGTGTGATTAAGGAAGCTTTGGTCAAGCTCATTTTGATTAATAATCAAAACTTTATCGATAAATCAAACGACTTAATTAATTATCGATAACCTTGCTTAGCAAATATGTGGCTGTTATCGTTCGCTTTTAAGAATGAACGTTAATGCACCTCTTTATGGATTCCACACATACCCAACTAAATTATCTAATCTCATTCTTAGTACATGGCGAGTTAGTCGTGTTCGTCTTAACTCTTGCTGTTTTCGCCCATTTCATACGAATACGAGGAAAATCCCACAAATCACTTGGTTAATCATTGTTTTTGCAAATGCCCCTAAAACAAAAACATTTCCGCTGTAAGCGCAATCGCTTTCTGGAGTAACTGCCGCATCAATTATCGTTGTCGCATTGTCGCTGATATTTCATCAAGAGCAACAACTTCTTCTTTTTCATTATTTGCTAATCGCGCACATGGCATATACGCTTTATCTGGGCCATTTAAGATCCATCGGCCGATTCGCTGAAAAAAGTTTAAGACAAATCTCGAAGCAAACTTGGCTAAACAAGTTCGCTGAATATGAAACACAAAAGAACGTAAAAAAAACCTTCTGCCTGCTGCTGCTTATCTAAAGAAATTGATAAGAGAACTGCGATAAAAAGTGACACAAAAAATTGTCCCATAAGCTGAGGCCAATAAATACAAGCAAGAACGCTAAAGTCGAGTGTGCTCGATTACCAAATACCCTTTAGCTCTCAGGCAATATAGTATTTCGGTTTACAGGATCACGCTTCCAGTTGTTTCAATTGTAAAATAAAGCCCAATATGAATATGAATTTCAAATAATTGTAGGCAGCTCGTCGTCCTGATCAAGAACATACATATATAGTTTAAGGTGTCTAATCGGCCTCCTTCTGCCTGTTGCATACACCTGCACAAGACCAGTCTCTCCCTCTTTTACCCATGCTTAAAGTTTACAGGGTATATAAGGCCTAACCAGCTTTTGAGTCAAAACAATCGAAGAGCCAAACGAAAATTTCTTGTTTGTTTTGAAGGAACGCTTAAAATACACGCGTTGATAAGCAACAAACCAACAAAAAAAAAAAAAAAAAAAACACCCCAAGCAACCAAAAGAAAACGGAGAAAAAGAAGTCATAAAAAAAAGCACAACCAAGAAGAAGAAGAATTGTGGGCAGAAACGAAAGCAAAGACAGCAACAGGTTGAAGCCCAAAAAAAAGAAAACAAAAGGAAATAAAAGAAACAGAAAAAAACCCAAAGACGAAACATTTTGTTTGCCGCTGGGCAGAACTTTGCCAAACAGGCGAAATTTAATTAAATAGAAGGTGAAATTATATAAAAGTTGAACTAAAAAAGAAGCCCAACGAATCGAACAATATTTGTAGAAAGTAAATAAAATTGCAAATAAATATGTGTTACTTGTGCGTTGACACAGTGAAAGCTCTTGCTTCAGAGAAAGAAGTCCGCGCAATTAAACAAAATTTAGAATGCTTTTATATAATATATTATAGATTTTTTATAAACAAACAAAAGTTGGTTCACAAATACGCTAATTACAATTATATACAACACTATGCAACATAGCTAGCCTTTATTTTTTTGATTTTCTTTAAACTTTTTAGAGCTTAATTTCAAAATCTTTAAAAAAATAAAGATATATATTTGCATTATTCGGGTACCTCGTGTGGTTGTGGATTGTTTTACGATTTTTTGTTGAATTTTGAACTAAAAAGGGAGATAGCCCATCAAAACGCAGTACTTTTAGCCAATTATCGAAAGCCAATCTGTTTGTCTTATATATGTATATATATTAACTAAAGTTATATACTTATATATATATATACATGCACAGGTATATACTCATGTTGGTAGCATTTAGCTTAATTAGCAATTTACGCGCAGCTGTTTAATATAATTAACAAATGTTACGTGCTGGGAGTGCGACACAGCTGTTTCGAAAATGCTTTTGAAAAACCAAATAAAACTAAATAAAATTTAAAGTGTGTTGATTTTGCTATTTTATTCTTATTTTTGAAAACCAACAAAGATGAAACAAATTTAAGAGTTTTATGGAAGATGAAATATCAAGTACTCAAAGCGGTATTGTAATAAATATATTTTGAATAATGATCTACATATATTAAAATCATTTAGTTTTTTTTTCTCAAAGAAAGCTCTAGTACCTTCAAATGAACCAATAAAGAAATATTAATGCTTCAAGAGCGCATTAAATTATAACATTTAACCATATCCAGAATTTCGATAGCAATTGGGTAAGGAATCACATACATATGTATGTATGTACATACAAAATGTACGTATGTACAGTGTACAATGGTAGTATACATATGTATATATGTATATATGTATATATATATATATATATATATATAGATAATATATACGTATAGATAATATTAGGTTGCGCGCTTGCGAAATCAACCCATCGATAGCTGATAAAATTGTTTGCCTGGGGTCTGTTGTGTGGCGCGCTTATCAGCAGCTCCAAAGCCGCACGAGCTGTAGATAAAGGCAGCTGCGAACTTGCTTGTCTGTCCATCTATTGTCTCAGCTTCTTCTTGCTGCTGTTGATGTTCTAAACTTGAGAGAGCTTCATGCAAAGAGCGCAAACGAAGCGAAGCGAACGACCTTCACAGTCAGTCAGTCCACTTGGGCTGCATCTTCTGCTTCTTCTTCTTCTAGTGTGCAAAGTAATAAGAACAGAAAAAAGAGTGGGGCAGATTGACACGGACAGGCGTCGTCTCAAGTGGCAATGTCGCTCCTTTTACGCTCTCCCTCTCTCTCTCCCTTTCTCTCGCTTCACTTCAATTGTCAGAATAGTTAAAATTACAGAGAGTAAGAGAGGGAGAGGGGGGGGGGGGGAGGAGAGAGAAGGTCAGGAGCAACAACTAGGAAGCTGCTGCTGCTGCGGAAACACAAGCACAACTGTATGAAAAGACAAGGCAGGCGAAATATTTATGCAAATTGGAGTTGGGGAGACGCGACGAGACGATTTTGAATAAAAACCAAATAAAAACTAATGAGCAAACTGCTGCCACTGATGACGGAACGGAAAGCGGAAAAGGCATAAAGCGAAATGCAAAACAAATTATAATGAAAAACGAGCAAAAATGCAAATCTAGCAGAAAAGGTTGCCAGACTGCTGTCGCGGACTAAGGGCAGCAGCAGCAGCAGCAGCGGTGCGAGCGAGATCGAACGAACAATCGGACAAAATGCAAGGCGAAGGCGAAATGAATGCAAAATGAAGCGAGGGTCAGTCGGCGACGGCGGCAAACGGGAACAGCTGCTATGTGGTGTTGGTGCAAAGGCAAATGCCACAAAGGGCAGGCAAAGACAGCAACAATGATAACAACGACGGCGCAAGAGAGTGCCCAATGCAAGTTTTTGTACACATGTGCGCCTGTATGTGTGCAGAGTAGAAGCTTAAACACACACACACACATACCTACAAAACAAGTTTTTTGACTCGCTGTTGCTGCTGCGGCGCCTGCGCAGAAGATTTCAGTTTTCAACAAAAAAAAAAAAAAAGAAGGAAAAAAATCAACTGACTGCTGACTGACTTTCTTTAAGCATTTTTGTGCTTGTCGCTGGACATGTTGCAGACGCAGTTTTCGCTTTTTTGGCAACTTTTCGAGGCAGCAGCAGTCGCAGCAAAATAAGAAGAAGAAAACACGTTTTATGCTCCGGTTTCTCACTCACCTGGCAAACGGCGTCTGTTCCACCTCGTAGATCTCGTTGATGTCATGCGACACAAGTAATCCCTTCAAGCGTTTGGCATCAACGTCCAGCAGGCCATCGCCTATGGGAAAGATGCCCTCCTCGGTAAACATGTTTCAAGCTGCAGCTGCTCTCGCTCGCTCTCTCTCTCTCTCTTCACACACGCACGAACACTTCTTTTTTTTCTTTTATTTAGATCTTTCGTCTTTTTTTTTCGTTTAGGCTTTTTCTTGTTTTAGTTTAAATTTGTTTTATTTAGGGGCGGCAGGGGCGGGGAGAGACTGTATTGCAATTGGGGGTTGCGTTGAGACGACGGCGCGAAATTTAAACTGTGGCACATACATAAAACAACAATAATATATATAATAATTAAATATGTTTGCTAACAAAACAAAAAGGAAAACAACAAAACGTAAATGTAAATAACAACACAAGAGTCGCGCGCGCGCTTTTCGCAAAGCTTTGGTCACACTGCCCGCATCAGCAGCAGCAGCAATATAAGAAAAACAGAAGCCAAGAAATTCCAGCGCCCTTTTAAGCTGCGCTGCCGACGTCGCAAATGCAACAGCCTGTTAGTTGAAGCGTGACAGCACTAGGGATGCTGTTGCTGCAGCCAAACTATGCATGTCCAACTACAGGCAGCAGCAGCGTCAGCGACAACAGTCACGGAAATTTCTTGGCTGTTTTTGCTGCTGTTTTGTAGTTTTCGATTTGCCTGTTATTTGATTTTATTTTTGTTTTTTTTTTTTTTAAATGTTTAGACCATTTAAATTAGAATTGAATGCGCGGCACACGCACAACAATTTCACACAACACACTCAACACGTTTTACGTTACTTTGTCAATGCTGCGCTGGCTGTTGTATTTGTGTCTGTATCTAAGTATGCGTGTGTATGTATATGCTCAATGCTGGTTGTGTTGGTGTATACACCGTCGTGTTCTGCCAACTTCGGCAGTGGCAGCGCAGCTCACAGCAACTTCTTGCTGCTGCTTGAATTGAGTGTGTACGTGTGTCCAACTTTGCACAAAAAAAAAATACAAAAAAAAAACACAAGAATTAAATAATTGAAATGCTAATGCAGATGGATTTTAGCAAATACAACTCGTAATTAAACTATTTAAATATTATTCGAACACGAAGCGCGGAATAAACGTATCGAAAAAAAATTTGTGTTGCAGCGCACATTCGATTTGTTAAATAATTTGAATTTGTACCAAAATACACACACACTCACACTCAACAAACAAATAAATAAACTCGTGGTAGTCGGTAGAGTTCAGTTAGTAAACGACAAATAACAGTCACAAACCCAGCGCACACATAAACCAGGCGACAACGATTTCAATTCTCAATTAAGCGCACCGAGCGTCACACGTCCGCCTCGTTCGGTTTTGTTATTGCTTCTGAATATCGATGACAAATTGGTTATAATGGCGCGTATTATCGATAGCACTATTGTGTTAACAGCTGTTAGGGCGCTGTTAACTGCAAAAATAATATATCGGTTGCTGAGTTTGTGAAACATTTATCAATGTCTAATCTCAAGCACCAGATAAAGTTGAAATTGTAAAAAATTTTGCACGTTTTGCTGAATGTTGTAAATACATGACACTGAAATTAAAATTATTTCTTAAAAGAAATACTATCGTACTCAAACTGGCACTGTTAGCAATGGACTCACAGCTGACATAACGATAGCAAAACATTTTTGATTAAATGGAACGCATGCGTGCCAACCTGCTGCACTTTTCCTGCTCGACTTGGCAAATATCAACTCTGCGTTGAAGACCGGCCGCGGGCTCAGCTTGAAATTTTCAAAATAGGTATTGAAAAAGACAAATGAGAACAAGCAGCGATCACGCTACACACTTGACGGAATCTTGACACGCAATGGACATTGGGCGCTGGCCTAAACATAGCGCAGCAGCCGCCACTTTGGTGCTGTTGGCGCCGCCTATAAATTCTTAATTTAGACATTTGCATTATGTTTATATTCATGTATGCTGCTGCTGCTTCTGCTGCTGCTGCTGCATGCGGCATGTGCGTGTGTCTGTCTGCGTGCTCCACTTGCGCTGCATTTTCATGAGCAACCTCCCCAGCCCAGCACCCAGCACCCGGCCCCGTGATTGTGTGTGCGTGTGTTTGTGCCCGCCCAGCAGTTGCGAGTATTTTTGTCAACGCCTCTCTGGCCAGGCCAGGCTGCCAGGCTGGCCGCGGAGCGGGATGAAAGACATCGGCGCTGGCATCTCAGGAATGCGTCGCAGCCAAAAATAGACAACCCAAGTGCAAAAACCTTTTCAGCATTAGCCGGGCCGCAATAGTCGCATTGCCTCATATATTTATGCAATTTTATTAATAGAGCCGCACAATTCGCAGCACCTTTGCCCAAAAGCCGGCATGTGGATACACAGATAGAGATGCACACACACGCACACACACACATTGGCACATGGTTAGTGCGCTGAACTCTAAACGCAACGAACTTTGGCCAGCTATAAATAGGATGCACTGCATCATTCCGCAAAATGTCGCAACGGCAATTGCCAAGTTTAGCAGATCCGGCATTTGACCTACGCACCGCAATGGAATGCTGCTGCGTTCGCCCGTAACTAGATGCCAGAAACGACAACATTTATTTGGGGCTTAACAACAATAATTATAGCCAATTGATTGCCTCAGTCTGTGCAATAAGTACATTGGGGTCCAGCCGCCGCTTCATCGCCGCTATCCGCATCGTTGCCACCGCTGCCTCCAGCTCCAGCGCCGCCGGTGCCGCCGCCGCCGGTGCCATCGCCGCCATCGCCACTGCCACGATAATCATCGATAATGTTCTGCAGCTCCTCCTGGGCATCGGTGAATTCGCGTTCCTCCATGCCCTCGCCGGTGTACCAATGCAGATGAGCCTTGCGGCGCAGCATAATGCAGGAGCCGTCCAGCAGACGCTGGAACAGAGTCTGAATTGCGGTCGTGTTGCCAATGAACGTGGCAGACATCTTGAGGCCACGCGGCGGTATATCACAGATGGCCGTCTTGATGTTGTTCGGTATCCAATCGACGAAGTTGTGCAGATTCTTGTTGCGCACCCCGGTCATCAGTTGGTCGACCTCGCGCGGCGACATTCGTCCGCGAAAGATGCCGGCGGCAGTTAGGAGCTTGCCCTTGCGCAAATCGATGGCGCACAACAGATTGTTGCTGGAGAAGATCTGCTGCACCAGCTCGGAGACGGTGCCCTTGCTAAACTGCTGCTGCTTGCAGGTGACCAGCGGCGCAAAGCCCGGTATGAGGAAGTGCAGCCGGGGAAATGGGACCATGTTTACATAGATCTTGCGCAGGCCCGCATTCAGCTGGCCGGGAAAGCGCAGGCAGGTGGTTATACCGGACATGGTCAAGGCCACAATATGATTGATATGCTCATAGCCGGACATTTGAATTTTCAAATTCCGATTGCAGATCTGAAAGAGCGCCTCGTTGTCCAGGCAAAAGGTTAAATGCGAGTTGTTCACCAGCGCCGGAATGCTGAGCAGTGCATTATATGGCTCAACCACCACCTGGGACATGTTCGGTGACGGTATGGTCACATAGTTGCACAGCAGATTATCCGGATACTGTTCGACCAGTGCCTCCATGATCAGCGATGTCAGACCGGAGCCGGTACCGCCACCAATCGAATGGAGCAGCTGAAAGCCTTGCAGCGAATCCACGGATTCGACCTCGCGTCGCGTATTGTCCAGCACCTGGTCGAGTATCTCGGCACCGTCGGTATGATAGCCACGTGCAAAGTTATTGCCGGCACTCTCCGAGCCGGCGACAAAGTTTTCCGGCCTGTACAGCTGGCTGCTGGCATTCAGGCGCTGTATGGTGCTCGCCTCCGTATCGATGATGATGGTCCGTGCATAGAATCTCTTGCTGGCCGTTGCATTGAAGAACACATTGATGCGCTCCAATTGCAGTGGGCTGGTGCCGCCAAAATGCCCCGATGCATAGTCCACACCGTGTTCGTGCGAGATCACATGCCAGAACTGTGTGCGGAACACTGGGTGAGATGCTACCCTGGCCAACTGGTCGGTCTCCGCACTACTCACCGCATCGCCAATGGCATTGCCGGCGCCGCCGATCTGCAGTGTCACAATCTCTCGCATTCTACACGCCCGCTCTCTGCCCTCCGTCCGTTCTCCACCGTGCTCCACGTTCTGCTGCACTTTTGCCGGACTTGCTTATTTTTTTGTTTTTTTTTTTCTAAATTTTTGACAACTAAATTTTGATGATTGTTTTTGGCCGAAAGTTGTTGTGGTTTGGAATACTGGCTATACGAGCATCATGCTGTGGCTTCACGGTTTCATCCACAGTCTTTTTGAACAAGCTCTCTAAATGCTACGAAATAAACAACAAACAATTCCCAGCCCAACAGTATCCAAAACTATTTGCCCAGCCGCCTTTGATCGGCCCGAAACACGACGAGCCGTGTCGTGACACGAAATAACGCATCGTATCATGAAAGAGTTGATGGATGGCTTTTGGAGAGCTTCATTATTTACATATACATATATAGTTTTATGTATGTATATATAATACATTTTTGATCGAATTCCCGCCCACTGTTCATCAGCACATCCAGTTAAACAAACATTTCCTACCAGAATTTAAGAGCTTCAAAACTGAGAGAACATCGAAACGGACAGACATGGCTATAGCCATGGCCACTCGGCTATTGATGCTGATCAAGATCCTTCTGTGTATTATACACATTTCACAACCCTTATCCATAAGGGTACAGAGGCAAACACTTGACTGTACTTAACGAGCTGCATTCGAAGCGAGTTGCGTGACTCGAAACGATCAGAAAGGTCAAATTTTATGGCTGGACACGAATAAAGTGCAGCAAGTGTCGTGACACGTTGCAACAAGCCAATTGAAAATATCAAAACTCGTGTTACGCGCCGGCGAAATTCAAAGATTAGCGAATTTACTACAATTAATTTAATGAGAATGGAAAAAAAAACATAAAGTAATAAAGTATAAAGGAAAAATCGATGGAAAGCAGTAAATTCTTAGACAATCAGCGCTTGAGGCAGCTGTTGTAGCTACTTTTCCTTCTTTTCGGCGGCCAACGAATTGTACAGCCGGTTGACCTCATTGGCCACCAGATTGTCCAGAATGATGCCGTTGCTGTCGATGAAGGCGGCGCAGGACTTGCTGCTGGTCTGCTCGCGCTGGCCACGCCCATCCTTGACGCACAGTGTGAGCAGGTACTTATCGTCGTACTTCTTCATATCCGAGCTGGCCTCCCAGATGCGCGGCGATTTGGCGCCGGCGTCTTTCTGCACGGCCACGACAAAGGTGCCCTTCTCGCGGAACGTTGTGTGGAGCGTGAGCACGCCCATCAGGGCAAAGTAGGCCAGCACGCTGAAGAGCAGCACGGGCCGCGACTGCGGGAACGGATGGGTAAAGTCCCAAGCATGCGCCATGATGGCCACACCAACGGCCAGGGCGCAGAGCACCAGACGGGTGTTCACAAGTCCGAACTGTTCCTTCAACTGTGGCCGATCGCCCAACAGGCAGGTCTTGACCGCATCGTCCAGGGCATGCTTCACCGCCGAGCCATCCCACTTGTTGACTTTAACCAGCTGCAAATTGTCAAATTGTTGTTGGATGTGGTTAACATTGGGGACGGTGCCGACTGACGTGTTCAATTAAAAAAAAAAAAAAAATAACACCCAAATGGAAACCGGTTGCCGGAAGCGTCACTGTGCCGGTCGGCGCTGTACTGTACTTACCTCTTCAGCAGGCTGTGATTTATCCTCCTTTTTAGTCATTTAAGCTGATTTATTAAGTCAATTCGGTAACGATTTGGCTAGCAAGAACGAAACAAAAAACACTTGTTTTTGCAATTTGACAACGCGACAGATATTCGATGTTTAATACAGCGTGACCGCATTGTCAAAAGTATTTTCTTTTTCATATTTCGGTATTTGGTATTTTTATGCTGCTGTAAACGTTTCTGTTAGGATCCTCTGTTAAGTGTAATTTATCGATAAAAGACAAGTAAAAACAGGCAAATTTAAATTTTGTCTTTCGTTGTAAAAAAAAAAATTTTAAATATATTTATAAATATCAGAGTTTGGAATTTGTCTTGCAGTTTTACATAGACTTCATTTGCGCCATTAAATCTTCCAGGCTCGTCTCTGGCATACCGTCACCAGCAGCTGCATTGCTCGCCTGGTCTGCCGACACCTTTTCTGGCGCCTCGTAAGCCAGACGCAGTCCAGTGGCCACATTCGCAGTGTCTGCAGTTTTGGGCGTCTGTTCAGCGGCTGGCGCATCATCAGCCACAAGCTCAATGCCCCAGTCGTTGCTCGCATGCAGCGGCTCATCGGATACCTCCTCCACCTGTTGCACCACAGGTTTCGGGCGCGCCTGGAACTCCTTCTGGCGCTCCAGACAATGCCGATCGTCGCACTGCGTGTTTGGCTTGAGAGTCATCTTGGGAAAGAAGTCGTTCAGCGCATTGTAGCCCAAATAGTCGGAGACCTCGCCAAAATTTAGCAAATACTTGAGCGCATTTTGCACAAGCAGACCCGCCGTAATGCCCATTGTGGTGGGCAGGGAAGCGGCGCAGACGCCCTCGCGTTTCAGCGTTCGCTCGTCAATGTTCTCGGCCACCACCAGCGGCGGCGCACATGCAAAACAAGCCGTGTCGCCTGGACGTATAAACTGTATGTGGCCGGAGACTGCGTTTTCGGATACGCCGGACTCAAACCAATTCAGATTGATCTCGTTGCAGGCCGCATTGATGGCCATGCGCGCCTCAAAGTTATCCACGCAGCTGAGCACCAAATCAACGGGCTGGCCCTGCTGCATGCCGCTCTCGGATATCGTGCTGAGGAACTTGTCAAAGTTGTCCACGGTGGTAATGTTGTAATTGTGCGTCTCGATCCGCACATCTGGATTGATAAAGCTGAGTGTGCGCGCCGCTGCTTCAACCTTGGACAGGCCAGCCTGGTCGGGTGTGAAGAACAAGCGGTTCATATTGGCCAGCTCCACCTTGTCGTAGTCGAACAGTATCAGCTTGCCAATGCCGCAGCTGTTGAATGAATGCATCATCAATATGTTATGCTTTGGTTATCGCTATCCCACTTTTGCTTACCGTGTCAACATGTCGGCAGTGACACTGCCAACGCCACCGACGCCCACAATCGCTACTGCCTTGTCGCGTATGCGCTCATAGTCCTTGACTATGTTCATGCGCTGCAGCGCCATAAGGCGGCTGTACGGATTGGAATCCACGACCTCCGCGGACATGCGCTCAATCCGTTCACGAGCATTACGTGTGCAGGTCTTCTGCTCTTCCAGCTCCGACTTCAGCTCGGCAATGATTGCTTGCAGTTCGTCAATGGCGGCTGACATATTGCGAACAGAAGGCACAAATAACAAAACAAAACAAATCGAATGCTGGCTCCAAATCCTAGACCTTCAACGTTTCGGCTGTCGTCGTGTCACTTTCGCTAGCACAGCTGTGCGGCGTTGCCAGAAGTCTTGCTTGCCCAACGATGACTATCGATAGCGTGAGCGCATCGATGAGATGGGCGAGCACAGAGCACGATATGTGATGCAAATATTTATTTAATAAGATATTCAGATAAAAATAGAAATATATGTATTGTATGAACAAGTTAAAATATTCTAATAAAGTTCTTGGGCCCGATGGGATTTCATATTACTAAAAATAAAAACGCGAATTTACTCGTGAACAGATTATTGGCAAACTAAAGTCATGTTGGAGTATCAGGGCGAAATATTCTTATAAAGAAGGGCCAAAAATGTATACCTTTTATAGGTCCCTGCAAAATGCTACCGGTTATTTTCAAGGCACTAGTAATTTATCCTGTTCAAGTCAGTTAATAGTCTAAATATCTACAATAGCTGTTATCTGCATCTGTAATATAATCAATAAATAGTTTAAAATTATTTAAATTGGTCAACTTGTAAAAGTTATGTGAAGATCTGAATTCAATATCGGAGATAAAACTCTACAGGAAAGGCTATTTATATTGTTTAAATTTATTTACCATCTCGACAGCCAAAATGTTAATTCCAGAGGCACGAAATGAAGCGTATACCATGTCCACCTCTAGGACGTAGAGTTGCCCATGCGGATAAAAAAAGATAAAACAGGCGCGCAATTCAAAATATTACACCAAATATATTGTCAAAACATTATTCATATTATTATTAAATACACAAAAAAAAATGAAATAATTAATATTTGTTGCTGATGTTTGTGTGTGTGTGTGTGTGTGTAGTTTGGTGTTAAATGTTAAATGCGTGTGTGTGTGTGTGTGTGTGTGTGTGTGTGTGTGTGTGTGTGTGTGTGTGTGTGTGTGTGTGTGTGTGTGTGTGTGTGTGTGTGTGTGTGTGTGTGTGTGTGTGTGTGGGTGTGTTCTGTTTTGTTTCTTGTTTTTATTATGCATGGAGTATTACTGTATAGACCGGGACTATCACTTGCAAATAAAGATATGCATAAGTTTATGATGCTGCCGTGCTGCCAGTTGTGGTTGCCTGTCCCGGCTGTCGGGGCTGGAGGCGCACGCGAAAGCCCTCCTCCCGCTTCAGTATGATGTCCGCCTGCAGCCTGAAGTCCGATTCGCTGAGGTCCGAATAGACACGATAGTTGCGCATAATGGTTGACAGCAGGATCTTCAGTTTCAGCATGGCGTATTTGCGACCTGTCGAATATATAGTATTTGAAATCGGCTCAGCGAATAAACCCTTCAATATTCTATGCATACTCACCCACACAGCTGCGAGGTCCTGCGGAGAACGGCACAAAGGCATAATAGTGTCGATTCGCCTGGCGTTCGGGCAGAAAGTTGTCCGGATCAAAGACATTGGGATTGGCGTAGACCTTAGGATTACGATGCAGCAATATGGTAGCCACTGTGACTGTGGCGCCACGCGGTATAACATAGGGTCCCGAGTTCAGTTTCAGATCCTCCTGCAGCTCGCGTGCGATCAGCGGCACGGGCGGGAACATGCGCAGCGTTTCCATGAGGCAACGTTCCAGGTATTTCATTTCCAGCGTATCCTGGAATGTGGCCGGTCGCTGGGAGTCACCAAAGATGCCATCCAGTTCGGCAATAACGCGATCCTGTATATCCTGGTGTATGCCCATCAGCGACAAAAAGAACGAGGATCCAGCCGCCGTCGTGTCGTGTCCCTCAAACATAATCGTATCGACCTGCTCCTTGATTTCTGTGTCCGTAATTAGGGCGCCGTTTTGGGCACTCTCCAGCATTAGATCGAGGAAGGCCAAACGTTTCTTCTCGCCAATATCATTGTCCTCCACGTCCAGATCGTCTTTAAGGCCCGCCGACTGGCCGTAGGAGAGGCCGGCAACGGGACTGGCTTGGACTAGCTCCGGCTTGGCGCTGGCAGCTGGTGACTTCTGCTGCTGCTCACGCAGTTCCCGCTCCTCCTGTTCGAGAGCAGCCGCCTTCAGCTCGCTCTGTGCCAGAGAGCCGCGGGTGCCCTGTTCGAAGGCCGCCTTCTTGCTGCGTATGACCTTGGTGGTGAGGCCGTGAATGATGTTCAGCAATCGGCCCTGTTCCTTGTAGTAGCGGGTCAGCGTGAAGATGAACTCGTTGCGCAGAAAGATGCTGCGATGGCGGGCATGGAGTATATCGCACATGCGCATCACGGCCATCGCGTACTCAAATCCCGACTTGTCCTGCGTCTTCTTTGATACGCCCATTGCGGTTTCTGCAAGTGCAAGAAGGTGGAAGACGGGGACCAGCGAGAAGAAGAGCCCCAGCTCCGATTAGCCCATAGCCAGCAGCATGCCACAAAAATTTAGTACGGAACGGAGATGGCAATGGAAATGGGAATGGGAATAGGAATGGGTACGGGCATAGATATGAGATTGGAAGTGGAATGCACTCGACTGACCCAAGCGCCAATTAAACTTAACAAACATACAACGGAGGCTGCGCCGGCTGTCTAATTGTAAATACAATGCATAAATAGCAATCGCTAAACACACACACACACAGACTCACTCACACATATGCATATTATGAATAAGCGAGCTGAGGTCCAGCGCCGGCCAACGGAGCGTATGCGTATTTCGCCCAAACAGATTTTGAATGCCTATTTGGCTACTTTATTTGGGCAACCGAGCAAGAAGAATGCCGGTTCGAATCCTTGGCTTGGTCAAAAGCTATAAATAGGATTTTGGAACCAGGGCTGTGAAACCGAAAAAAAATCGACGGTAGCTCGGTTCTCGGCTCGAACCAAGTCGCAGTCGCTTTGTGAACCGGACCTGGTTTGTCATTTTAAACATTTTAAACTATTTGGTTTTTAATCAATAATATTCCGTTCTTATTTGTTAATACACAAGCCCCATGTACCTAGTATTTTTACATACAGAATGCAGAATAAATGAAATGAAATATTTGGGGCACAAGATATTTGGATATTTGGGGCTGTTTTTTTTTCAACCGTTTTCTATTTTAAAGCAAACCATTTTTTTTTAAAACAATCTGGCTCGTTACGCCTGCTTTTTGAGCATCTAGTTTTGGTTCATGGTTAAAATGAAATAAATGTGTATTCCGGGTTCAGGCAGCTTGCAGCCCTGGTTAAAAGATTGTAAAGTACTAGTAAAACCCAGCAGAGAATACTCTATACAAATTTGGTAAATGGTATCACCAAATAGTTAAACACTTCTTAATACTTATGCAATAAACTGAAGACTGCTCAGAGCTATGCACAAATTTATTGATTTGTATTCAGCAGAGCAGAAAACCAATCAAGTATCAAGTGTATTTGGTATCTGGTATTAGCTATCATACAAGTATAAAATATATCATATACAAGTGTCATTTTTACTTTCAAGTGATCAGGTCTCGCTCCAGGCAAAGAGTTTCAATAGAGTTACGTAAGCCAGCTAAACTTGTATACATATATTTATAATTGAAGCAATTTCATGTTAGGCAACAACGAGAATCCGGGTTCAAATCCCAGGCTAGTGTATGGAGCCAAAACCCACAACAACACTAGGCTAACAGCTTGTAACAATTTCCTATGCCTGTAGTAATAATAATAAATCTCATGTTTTATGTAATTTTTGCCTACTGAAAGTTTTGGGCGAACTTGAAAAGGTTTTTATAAGCCGAACCAATTGAAAATGGGTCAAAAGGAGCATAGGTTTTTGTGACAGACAGAAGGAAGCATGAATTATTCATATATACCGAATCAGGACTATGTCTGTCTGACCGTCTGCATGAATCCGAAATCTTGGTAAAGACAAAAGCTTGACTCGAAAGTTGAAATATATATTTTCTCGCCCATTTCCATAATATCGATAAGTATCCTTTTTAAGACATGAGCTTTTAAGCATCTTACTTGGTGTGTGGGCTCGCCCATGGTTTAAATACAGATTAAGATCATTTAACTTTTTGGATAGCTGCCTTCGGCTTTCATATATGTATACTATACACACTTTTGTATGCCACATTTAAGCACTGGAAATTTCAAAGGGATCGGACTCCTAACACCCAAGTCTATCCAGACTGCATTTCCCATAGATAGTGTGGGGCAAAGGGAAGAAGAAGCACTGGCGTAATGTTTATGAATGCATATAAGGAAGTTGGAATGCTTGGCAGCTGGGTTAGGATTACCTGCAAGTCGGGCAAGCCCCGTCTAGAGCACACACTTCTTTCTATTTCTGTAAGTCAAGCGGAAGTGAAAGCCTACTCTTGAGCCTGCTGATCTTATCAGTGAATATAAGTGAATATTTTCAATTACGTTTATTTGTTGGCCTATTTGGCTACTTGGCCGAGTTACGTATGTGATTGCATAGTGGAACCTTTGATTGATTTGACAATTCTTCCGCTAAGGCTGAAAACGGGCTGTGCGTGTGTGCCTCGAATATGAGAGTTCGCATTGCGCAAGTGTGGAAATGCTGGTTTTCCCCACTTGCTTTTCACCATTTCACTTTGGCCCACTGGCCAGTTGGCCAGCTGGCGGCAGGCTGGAAAAACTGGTAGCTTGTTGCAGCTGAATACTCCTTAAATATGGATATATATGGCCGGCGGGGGGTTATGCAACGGCGATCGAAAATGACATTTGAATTTCTTCTTCTTTTTCTTCTTCTTGTTGTTGTTGTTGCATTTTTGATTCAATTTTCGCTACACGCGCCATATACTGTATAAAAAAGCAAAAAAAAAAAAACATCGCCAGCTCAAAAATGATTTGCACACATTTTTTTTCATTTTCATTTTGATTATTTTTATGTTGAATCTTAATTGCTAATTGCTCGTTTGCGTCAGTCGGGGCTGGAGCTGGGGCTGGGGCCTGGTCTTGGGTCTGGGTCTGGGCTTGGGGCTGGGGCTGGGCCTCGCTGGCTGCTGTTGCATTCAAATTTTCCTGATTAAATGCTTAATGGCAATGCGACGTGATTTTAATTGCACTTGGCTAGCAGTTTGGTTCGGCTTTGCGCTGGCAATTTTCAGACGCGATGCGCGTTTTGGCTGCATTTCAATTATGGGGCGAAGGTGAGTGCCTGCGTTATGCAATGGCCTAGATCAATCAATCGGCCAGCCTAACAGACAGAAAGATTCAGATATATATATTTATATATATATATATATCTGTGTGACAATGTCATTAACATTTGCCGTTCCCGCCTGGCCAACTGCCAGCTACTGGACACTGACCACACACTGGCGGGGTTTTCACTTTTAAGCCAAAACGTGTTTGGCTTTAAATAAACGACAGGCATTTTTGGATGGCACAGTTAGTGGAGCCTACGACCAGGTTTTAAACATTATAGCCCAGCTCATACGTGATAATGGCATTATGATATAAGTAATAGGCGCTAGACCCTTCGCCATGCCACAAAGTGAAAGTCGTCAGAGCTGCTAAAGATCCCTGCTAGTCAAATGAGTGCGATTTCCCAGATACTATTTGTATAAGCATAGAATATAATCACAAGCTATTAATCTAAGTAGCTTAAAGAGCAATGTCTGTAATTGGGCTACACACCAATCTGTGATTCGAGCCCGATCGCCCCTTGTCTAGTTCCCTAGGCAAATCCTCTCTTAGGAAATTTCATCTGTAAGAGGCCTTAGTAAGCCTCTTAAAACCCATATATGTGCAGGTTGAGTTCCGGACTCAACTCGTTACAGAACGTCATGCAAAAAGTTTAACCAAGATTTACCAAAATCATTTTATTTATATAGCAAAATAACTAATATTGTGAGTCTATGTCCTTAAAATCGTTCTTCTTATGAAAATAATAAATATCAAAGCTGTTATTGCTTACCATAAGACGAACCTTAAGCCGAACCAAAACACGTATCAATACAGAAGGATACAGACCTAATGTTTAATTTAATTTCAACTTTTTTTTTTATGACCAGATTGGAAAGGTCTTAATTTTGAGTAGAAATTAATCTGTAATAATACGTGACGAGCCAAGCTTTAAAGCAAAACCTGGGTTAATGAATATAGAAAATCAGGTTCACAAGCCAAGCCTCAAGGCAGGAAGTTGGTTCGAACCGTAAACCGAAGCACCGACAACTTTTTTAATGATAGGAAGAAACCTAGAAAACTTCGATATATGACGGGCTGCTTTATTAGCTTACGTAGAATTCCCTGAGCTAATGCTGAGTTACGTGTGTTAAAATTCCCTTTACTACATTATATTCGGATGATATGTGATAAATAAAAATAAATGCTCGAGTGCGATTCCAAAGGGTTTGATGGTTAAATAAGAGGCAAAGGTAATAAATAAGAACCGTTCAGTTTTGGATAGTTATATCAGATATACAAATAATATTCGCTTATAAAATTAGACAACTTAAAGCAAGGTTTAAAAAAACCAGAAATCGCACAAGTCACAGCTGAGTTACGTGGGATGAAATCTTGGTATGTTGCGAAAGAAATCACGTACTGGGATTCGGTCTATGCCAGTTTATGGCGGCTCATTATTCAAACAATATACGGATTAGTTAGGCATGTATTTGAAATAATTTGTGTGCCATTGCCTGAACTCGCACACACAAAAGACGCAAACGGACAACAACAAAAATTTGTACACTGGTGCGAGTATATAGGGAAACGGGTCTGTGCTCAATTGTAGCATATATAATACATATGTGATAGGTACATCTATGCGTATGTGTGTGATATACGGACAAGCACACACATACATCCAATGCAAAAAACGAAACTTAAAAAATGAATCGGAATTTGAATCTGAAACTGAATCCAAAACGTAGCCTGTCGAGCAGTCAGTGCGTGTGAGTGGACTGTACCGGCTGTGTTTGTGTGTGTGTGCGCGTGTGTGTGTGTGTGTGTGTGTGCGCGCGCGCGTGTGTCACTTACCCAATAGAATCTCCACAGTTGCCTCACTCATGTAATCATGACAATCAAATGTGCCACCATCCTCCGCACGCAGTTTCCGCACCACATTGCGCGAGTTCTCGTTAAACAATTCAATGAAACTCTTTAAGACATTCAAATGGAATGTGGGTGCGATTAGTTTGCGATGAGCGCGCCATTTTTGACCTGATCGGGATAGAGAAAAGATTACGGAAGGTTAGCCAAAACCAAGAACAGAAATTATACAAAATAAAAAAATATAATTCAATGGAAAGAATTTGAGGCAGAGAATCGACATAGGTATGGAGAGCTTGGAATAATAGTTAGTATAGATAGTAAAACTTGGGATATAGAAACAGAGAGATCGGAATAAGTATGGAGTGATTCGAATAATAGTTAGTATAGTTCATCAAACTTGGGATATAGAAACAGAAACTTCTAGCGTTGGAGAAATCGGGGTAAGATAAGTACAAGCACAGTTATATCCAAACGATTCAAGAGATATAGAAAGTAATCAAATTTGGGTATAGAAAACGCTTGAGAGATAAGAAGAGAAAACAGCATGGAGAGATCGGAATAATATCTAAGATAAATAGAAGGTGGGACATATAGAGCTCGAGAAATCAGGATAGGAAAATATCAACTAAGAAAAACTAAAAGGCTTAAGGTGTAGCAGATGGATCTAGAAAAAAATATATATGAAGAGAGAAATTTTTGAAGAATTAAGGAAAACACATTAGATATATCAAAGGAACGAAACTTAGAAGCATGAAAATGGGATAGATAGCTATGAAAATGGAAATATAAAAAGATGGAGCCTGGGCTAGACTGATTGAAATAAGAAAAGATCTACCCAAAGTCATTATATGGATAATCACGAAATACATCAAAGTTAAATGAGACAAAGAAAGAGATAGATAATGCTGGGGCGTTAGAAAGAGATGGCATTCGCACACAACAGTTTCTGCTCTGTTCGGTGTCGTTTATTTATAGCCGCCATTTGTTCGGCGTTGTTGTGCCAACTGTCAGGCTTACAAATCGTTTTATTAATTTATGATTCCATAAACGCAATTTAAATTGCATTAGCTAGTCTAGAGAGTGGCACCGTACCAACGAGCCCCTGCCCCTGCCCCTGCCCCTACCACTCTGCTCCGTTCATGCCACGACGAATTCTGCTCGAATACACACAGAGTAACACTCACCTGTGCTAATGAGTAGACCATCGCCAAGCCAGGGCTTGAAGAACTTGTACTCGGATGCCTTATCAATGTACACGTGGCTGCTCAGTAACAGCTCGACATCGCGCGGATCATAGATGAAGACGACCAGCTTGGGACCGATCCACATTTTGGCGATATGCTCAAAGGGTGTGCTTTTGCGTATGACTGTTTTGAAAACAGCTGAAAACAGGATACAGAATTGTAGCCAGACAGTTACAGGCAGTTATGTGTAAGTTATGTGGGAACCTACACGAAGCGGGTCCAATCACATCAAACAGATGCCCCACAATGGGCAAACCACGCGGGCCCGGCAGGCGCGCGGCCAATCTGTAGAGATGAGCGCGAGACAGTCGCCAGTAGATGTACCAGAGCACCAAAGTGGGCAGCAGCAGGAAGTAGAAGACGCTGCTGGGCGAGCCCAGGGCGGCGTCTTTCTTCAGCACCTCCATGGGGGAGGAGGCGGAGCACACGCGGTCAAAACAAGTAACAAGTAGCTAGCGATGCCGAATAAAAAAAACCCAAAAAACAAAAAAAAAACAAAACAACTGAAGTAGAATCTAACGCAGCACACACACGCCACACGCCACGGCGGGCAACACAGCACTAAGAACGAAGGCGGATGCCACGGGAGACGTCTCGACTCGCAGCTCAAAACATTTCAATGCGCGCCGTGAGATTCTTTTTTATTTTGTCTTTTTTCCGGTTGCGGATGCTGCGGATGCTCGTCGCTGCCTGTCCGCCGCGATACTGATACAACTGGCTGGGCAAAGCGGGAACAGCAACAAAAATACTAGTAGTAGTATTAATAATAATAGTAAGAAAAAAAGACAGACAAAATCACGGCAGCAATGAGCACAAACACGAGCAAAACGTAGCGAAATGCAGCACAAGAAAAAAAAATCAAAATCAGTATAAAAAAATTATTGAAATGAAATGGGAAATGGTCGGCCCGACGTCGCACGCTTCACGCTCCGCGCTGTGACTAGCCGCCGCCGCCAGTGCGCCCGACTTTTATAGCCAACAATGTGGCAAGCGGCAATGAACTGGCGCTGGCGGACAGGACGGACGGACGGACAGACAAACAGACAGACAGACAGACCGAACGATGCACATAGTGTCCGCACAGAGGCGGTCAAACGGGTGACCATTTAAAATGTATCCAACCACCGCCGCCATTTAAAGCAGTGCACATAAGCAGTGCGCACAAGCAGTGCAACTGCTTTCTCAGCTTTGAAGCTTTCGTAAGGCATATAACATTTAAAGCTCTGCCCTGCATTGCCAGTTTCCGAGTTGTTTTCTGCTTAATTTAAGTCTTTTTTGTTTTGTTTATTATATATATTGGACATTAGTGCATGATTATTTTTAGTAATTGTTACCTATAGTTAATAATTTCTTAATTTAAAAAAAAAAAGTATCCATCACCGTTTGCCATAACGAGCATTGCATCCTAATTGTTGCTAATATAATATACGAGGCTCGATCAATAAGTTGCATTGATGCAAGAGAGGGTATTATGAGATACAGCGAACATTCTAACAGCTAGCAAAAGCGTATGAAATCGGCTAAATATATCATATGTCCGTTTAAGGAACAATGGGTGTAACACGCTTGTCTTAAAGGGCATTAAATCTTTGCGTGCCGAAAAAAGTTTTTTTTTTCGTGAACCTTTTAAGATTGTTAGGCATCTTTAAACGTTTTTGTTATTTCTTGACTATGCAATTTGACACACTCTCCACTGACAGAGGAAGCCAGGTGGGAGGGGCTGCACAGATGCAAATAAGGTTTTTCATCTAATAATACAAATTTCAGATCGATTTCTAGCTTAAGTTTTGGGTAATGTTCGTCTAAAACCGGAAAATGTTTAGTAATTGTCAAAGACTTGTAACGTGTGTGCTTATTGATCGACCCTCGCATGTGTATGCGACCACAGTACGTATGAGCAATATTATTGCCCAGACATTTACAATTAATTATATTTAGAAATTAGCTTATGGAAGTCGTTGGCTGGACAACACTGGACAACAGGGCATCCGATTCCCATTGATATACACATACATACAAATACATGAATAATTATGGGAATAACAACAACTAGATATTGTGTGAAGCCTAACTAAGTACAAGATTTCATCTATTATATGATATTTGGTTTTGTGCCTAGCTCTTAAAGTATGCTGTGAGTTTTCCTTGTCGCCGAAAAGTGGAAGCTCTTTAGACGGATGACTCGTAGATGACAATTTGCAGCACCTTGGGCTTGCTATTCTGCGCCTCCTTCACCTCCTTGAGTATGGCATTCGTGATGGCCTCCAGTGCGGCAATATCCGAATTGTGCTCGCTCTTCTTGTTGCTGTTCCATTTAGGCATAGACACCTGTGTGTATGTGTGGGTGTGTGTTGCATTTATTATTGAGATGCTATTTAGTTGACGCTCTTCACTTACGGTTAAGACCTTTTGCAGTGTGGCATAGTCAAGGCCCGTTCCCGCCGTCTCGCCCAGGCGACGCAATGTCTCCGCCATGGGACCGGAGAGTTCCTGCAATGCATCGCATAGCATGAGTGCAGCTTAACAGCTTAGGAGGTAAGCACTTACCTGCAGCTTGGCCCAGCTGGTCGCGTACTGGCGACGCACCAGTTCAATGATAGTGGAGGTTAGGGCCAGTCCAATGAGTATATAGAGTGTGCAGAGCAGCATGTAATTGGGTTTCTCTGTGGAGAGGAGGTAAGAAAACATATCAATAATCTATTGCAACTAGCTGATTCTGGCTAACGCACTGGGCACCAGATCACCAAAGCCAATCGTTGTCATTGTTATGAAACAAAAATAGAAGCCATCAAAGAATGTCCAGTCATCCTCCCAGAGCAGCAGCAGCCCGGCACCAGCGGCAAGATAGACGCCTAGAAATCCAACGGCCAGAATCGCATAAAACCACGTCTTCCCGATGAAGTTTGTGAACTTCGGTTTCGCTGCAATCGATAGACATAACTCGAATCGATAACACAACCAAAAATAATAACGGTCTACTCACTGGGCATATGCGTGCCAAACACGGATACAGCGCTGGCAAAGAGCCGACCCCAGTCGGCAATGACCGTCAGCGTGAAGGGTATTCCAACAAGGGCAAAGCAAATGCAAAAGACGCGACCGCTGATCGTTACGGGCACTATATTGCCATAGCCTACCACAATAAAGGGTTTAAATATAAGTACGGATTTTAATATTATTATTCTTTTTATTATTTTTCCTATGTTTATTATAAATTATGTTGTTTTCTTTTCAATACTGGTTACTAAGGCCTGGGATTTGAACCTGGGTCCTAGGAATGCTAAGAAGGAAGGACTCTATTTACAAGATATGCGAGGATTTATATAAGTTCTTGTGAAATGCCTTAGGCTTTTTTGTATTGCAGCAATATCATCTCGATAAATTTACAATACATTATTATTGGGCTATCAGATTATGTCGATAGGTTTGGAAATTTATATTTGGCTGTCTATCGTAATATCGATATATTTTTGCTGGTGCAAGAATATCGCTTTTACGATATTTTACTGAAAATTACATTTGTTATTGGAAAGTGCTGTTGTAAGACAATTATAAATTGTAATATTTCCAATAGTAACAGATGACAATGTTTGTAATGCATTGCAAAGTAGCAACTCCTACAACTATTAATGGTCATTAAAAATTAATTCATCAATTTATTTTTGAGACACGTAATGTGAGTAAATGGAACAAGGTTGGATTATTGGTTGTTAAATCAATTGATATTATGATAAAGAAAAACAAGCCTAACGTATGTATATGTAAACAAAATCTAAGTTCGACTAGATCACAGTTGGATTAATTCATTATTTAGCAAATGCAGATGAAGTTTATATAGGATTATTTAGGTGCAGTTGTAAAGATGCTTGCTGGAAGCGAGACTCCAATGTTGACTTAAGTTTATTGCTTACCTATAGTGGTTAACACAGTTGATGAGAAGAACACAGCTTGCAGTATGCTCCAGCGCTCATAGGGCTCTGGAAAGTCTTTATCGGCTACGATAAGCAGCCCGCCCTCGGCCGCCTGCTGTACGGCCTGTGGAAGTTAAGAATATAACAAATATAAATAACTTAAAATTTATACATTATTTAAAAATAATTCTTTCTAGTTTTGGAGGGGCATGAAGACAGGCATCTAAAGAAATTTTCGTAATATGAATGTACTTTACGAGACGAAGTTTGGTATATCTAGCGCTTAATACTTTCGATATTTTCAAAATAGATATTTATCGATCACATAAATGGGAGGTTATATCGATAATAATTAAATTATAAGTTCGTTTTGCGTATAATAAAGCATAATATATGTATATATATTTTAAATTCATAGTCTCTAGCTTTTATGGTTTTCGATATCGACGCTTTCACGCAATCGTACGGACTGACAGATGGACATGGCTAGAAGAACGATACTCATCGACCTAATCAAGATTTGCTTTCTTCTGCCTGTTACTTACATTTAGGCAAAACCATTTTACCCTTTTTAAAGCCAATGTTTAGGAATTAAAATGAAAATATTATTTATTAAAAGTAAATTTGTATATTTCCAAAAATAAAGTCTTGCTTTGCTGCATAGTGTTTTAGCTGGAGTTGAGCTTGAACTTACCGCTTCATATTTGGCCAGCTCAAAGGCGAGCAACTCGTTCAGATTATTCACCTCGGTGTTGTTCAGTATGGTGCTCATGAAGCGTTCCCGCTGTGTCTTGACCACATCCTTCAGCTGCGTTAGACGCGCCACCTCCGCTGGCCGCTCCAAGTGGCGAAAGATCTGCGTTTACAATATGGTGAAAAATGGGGGGCAATTGCAAATTACAAGATTACGCTGCATTAGCATTTAATTAAAGTGTGCCGCATAATAAATGGCACACAGAGCGTCGCATACGGCGGATGGGCCGATGAGATGACGGCCTGTGCGGGGGCATGATGATGGCATCGCTATGGCTATGACCAAGTCTGGCCCAGCTTTATGCAATTTATTGGCATTTGATTGATGGCCAGGCCACTATGCACATTGGTATCCCTTTTGACATTTTGTGTGTGTGTGTGTGTGTGTGTGTGTGTGTGTGTGTCTTCACTATACTCTATACCCATAAAAATGTATCAATGGGTCACATCAAATTTAGCAATTGCTTGTAACAGATTTGAATATTTCCTTGTACATATTCTACAGGCATATTTAACATGTGTTAAAAGAAACACCGTGACTAACTACTTTCAATTTTTCCCAAAAATTGATCTCGAACTAATCAACAGCCAAACAACAAACATTCAAAGCTCGTTTTAGCATTAACAAGCCTGTTAAATAATTACCATACAGGCGGGAACCTGTCAAATTTAACTTCTTGGTCAAGCATAAAAAGGTCGCCTCAGCATTAACATGTTGTTCAATAATTAACACGAAGATGGAAACCTGCCAAATTTAACTTATTGGTAAAATTTGGTGATTACTCCACTCCATTTTTCCAACATTTGACCACGAGCTGGCAAACATCCAGGCTACAAGTATACATATTCGTCGTTTGCGTTACATGCCTGTTAAATACTTGACATGAAGTTAACATGTTTATGTTTAGTATGTGTTGCACGCAGCTGCAGTTGCTAATAAATATTCAATTTTGCTCATCTACTCCGTCAGATCAAGACTTTTTGCATAAGTTAAGTCTATTTGTAGGGTATTTCGTAGCTGTGGTCACCGAATTGTTATTGTTGTCGTTGGCAGCGAGCATCATTAAGTCAAGTAAGTGGCATTTGCGATAGGTTCATTAACTCTTGAGTGGAGGAAATGCAAGTTTTAGTGCCAGCTCGGTGAGTCAACAAGTCTTCGCATGTTTTTCCAGCGCGCGTGAACATCTAAATCTAACATAATGTTCGAATTCTATATTCAACAGCTGAGTTTTCCTTGACCCTAACCATTCTTATAAACAAAAAAACATTAAATGAATGCAATTCAATTGAACAATTAGCAATAAGAAATTTTCCCCCCATGGTTTCGGGCATTGAATTTTAATTTTTGATGTTCGGGTCTAAAGGTTTTCCAAAAGATAGAAGAAGAAGAAAAAACGAAATATTCTCTTAATTTTTCACACATCATCGCAATAAATTTGTTTAACGTCTAGTACGCGCTTTTGCTTAGTTCTTGTTATAAAAATAGTTGCACAAATTGATTTGTGTTTTACTTTCAACACCAAAAGAACAACAACCAGAAATATATGTGTATATGGTATTTACGATATGTCTGCCACACACATACATATACATATATATATTTATATATATATATATATATATGGATCCGAATCCGAATTCGCATTCGAAATTCAATTGAAATGTGTCAGCAATTTCTCTTCTTCGCGCCCAACGACTTATATTAAGTGTTCCATACACCCTGGCCACCCTCCCAACCAGCGACAGGACCCTATAGAAAAATACACTTGGCCAGCAGCTGCGTCTTTGCATTTTTTGCAGACAGAAACACTGTTCAGCAAAATTGTGCATGTCGGAGTTTGTGTCGCGACGCCAAAGCCCACAACTAAACGCACGTGCTTATGCAAGACAATATTTTAAATATAAACACATATTTTTAATATTTAAGAAAAGAAATGGACAACACTGCTCAACATGACCTAACTTTAATTTTTTAAATCTCTATATATAAAACTGTTTGTCCTGACTGACTGACTGATTGGTGATCAAAGCACAGCCCAAACCATAACAGCTAGGAAGCTGAAATTTTCACTGTAGTTACCTTATGTGATGTAAGTGCACTTTAAGACGGGGTTTCGGGAAATTCCACCCGCAAGTGCGGAAAAATCGCGAAAAACGTTTGTATGTAACTTTTTTGTTTACCATCCGATCGGCCTCAAACTTATTTTCAAAGATCTTTGTTCAAATTCATCTGAGGGGTGTTTCACACTTTTAGGAAAATCCATTCCTCCTTGGAAATGGAGGTCAAAGATTTGGTGGGTAACGTTTCGCGGTCAAATTCATTTCTAGACATCTATTAGAGAAATCATTTGAGACGTGTTTCACACTTTTCGCAGAATTCAAACTTCTTCGGGGGAAATGCGATTTAAAGATTTTTTGGGCGAAGTTTTAAGTTGTGTCCGATTTTCTTCAAACTTATTTTCAAAGCTCTACATAAGAACTTAATAAATACGTATTTCAGCGATTTGGGAAATTCCACCCGCAACAGTAGTAAATTGGCGGAAAACGGTTGTATGAAAGTTTTTTGTTTACCATCCGCTCGGCCCCAAACTCATTTTCAAAGATCTATGTTCAAATTCATTTGAGGGGTGTTTCACACTTTTTGAAAAATCGATCCCTCCTTGCAGCAAATGGGGGTCGAAGATTTGGTGGATAACGTTTTGTATTCAAATTTATTTCCAAAGATCTATAAGAAAAATCATTTGAGACATGTTTCACATTTTTCGCAAAATATAAACTCCTTCGGTGGAAAATGCATTTCAAAGATTTTTTTGGTGAATTTAAAGTTTTGTCTGATTTGCATAAAAGTGGTTTGATTCCCGTCGATCCGTTTCAAAATCATTTTCAAAGCTCTTTGAAAACATTGATTTTATAACATACGTGCCACGGGCAAGGCCGGGTGTACCCGCTAGTAAATAATAAATTTCAAAACATTCGCCAATAAAATGCACTGTTAATAAGAAGGAATTTAGCTTCTCGCGAACTAATAAGTATATGCAAATATATGTTAACTATTTAACAGTATAAATGTATGACAAGATATGTTAATTTTGAATGCTACAAAAATAAATTAAGCTTTGTATGTAAGATGAAAAAAATAAAACTTTTGTTGCTGGAGCCATGCTCAAATGCTCAAATTTTATGCACCCATAATCTATTCCCCTCTGGCGAACAACTTTTATTAAGAGATCCCTTCCCCGCGGCGTGCTTCCTTTCACCCACAATCGAATGCATTTGGACAGCAGCTGCAACTTTTAAGTTAAAAAAAGAAAAAAAACAGAAACTATGGATATCTTCGGCACGCCGAAGATTTAATACCCTTGTAGCAGATTTGTGAGCATAGTGAAGAAATGCTGAGTTTCATGGAAATATCTTGGAAAATAAAACACTGTGCCATACAAAAACTTATTTTTCGACCGATTCCACCCTGGTACTATATAATATAGTATATATAAGCAGCATGGTTTACCTAAACATTACATTACATTAGATTTTGCATATACATATATGTAAGGAGCACAGTAAAACTTGAAATGCCGAGCTTATCTAGATATCCTGAGAAACAAAAAAATTTTCCATACAAGAAGCTACTTCTCGACCAATCGTTCCGATGATAGCTATATGATATAGTGGTCCGATTTGACTTATGTAATGTCTGCAACAGAAAGAGCTTTGCAAATTTCAAGACGACAGCTTTAACTGAGAAACTAGACAGGCAGGCAGACAGACGGGTGGACATGACTATATCAACCCGGCTAGTGATCTGGAATATATGTACTTAATGGGGTCGGGGATGTCTCCTTCTGTGCGTTACACATTTCATGACTAAATTATAATACCCTATTTGAGGGTATAATAATGCTGCATGATAAACTTTGAGTTCCGTATATAAATTCAATTATATGATTGTTCTTTTTAAGGCTTAGAAATAAATTTGTTTTTATTGCGTTTTAACTTTTTAAATTTCAATTTTGTTACAATTTAACAAAAGTAACAACAATATTTTGAACTATTAAAACAAAGCCAGAAAGGTTTTGAAAAATTACGATTAGCTTAAGGCTGTTTTGTGTCCAACTTATCCGGTTAATTTGGAATTTCTCGTCCATTCAAAAATTTCTTATACAGCACAGATTTGGTTAAAACAATAAAAAGGCTTCACATACAAACTTATTAACGTCGACTTAATGTGAGAAATAATAATAAAATTAAAGATTTTTAATTCAGAGAATTGCAAAACTTGGCTAAAGTCGATTTTAAGCACAATTGAGAGCAAACGCGCAAAGAAAAGAAATTTAAATTTCTCCGTTTTTATTCAATATACTGGAACCCAATTGTATTATTAAAAATAAAAGTAATCTAAAATGTAAGTAAAGTAGATTGTTCAATTTAAGCTACCAACCAAAAATTCCACTTAAAGTAGCACAAACGTTTAATAGTAGAAATTAAGTCTCGCTGCTGCTCGGTGCAATTATCGTTCGTCCTTGCACATGGTTTATGATAATTTGGTAACATTTTTGCAAAGCTACGCAATTGTGTAATTAGCTTTGGTTCACTCAACCAAATGATGGCGACAACTTGTCCCAGTTCAAAAGTTGTTCACACTAATCTATAAGTTCTGTCCATGCCAGTCATGGGCAAGGACAAGCACAGCGGCATCATCGAAAACAGCAGCACGCAGCAGACAGGCGTTAAATCAACTTTAGAGCTTGTGACGGGTCCAATCCGTGACCGTACAATGCGGCGTATACGTAATGTTTATAACAATTTCGTGTCGTCTCAGTGGGGTCCGTCTGTTGTGGCATGTCCGTCTGTTGTTTTTGTGCTTGCGCATAAATTATAATTATTAATAGACAGACTTTGGTTAAGATGCGACACGCAATGCGGGAATTGTGGCCAAGATCCTAACAGATATGCGCCGTATACATATATAATATAACAAAAAGGTGAATAGTGAGTGCTATGTTTGGTCAGTTATTTATTAATTTGTTTTTATGATTGACTGATTGATTGATGATCAATCCAAGTCATAAGAGCCAGATAGCTACATTTTTACTGTACCTACTT